AACTGTATATTATTTCAAATTGTTCAGAAACAAACATAAATCCATCATATAGTCATGTGAATTAAAATTAAATTCGTTCCGTAAACTGAACAAGTGTAATATTAGATATTCACTTTTATGTATTCACTTTAATTGAGACACAAAACTTTATTTTATCATGAAATTAGTTCATTTAGAAGTAACTCCTCTAATAAATGTTTAGTTTCAACTTTAATGGTACGATTCATGTAAAAAAAAACCATATTGAAATTAAGTGTAATCGAATTAAATTTCATCTATATTAACACACTGAACAAGAAAGTATTTAGAAACTTTAATCGTAAATTTTTATCATTTAAAAATGACTCTGTGATATTATGAAATCAGTCAATCACTTTATATATCACCTTATGAACAAATGTGAACTGAATTGATTTTATCATTAAATATGCATGCGTTTATCTAGAATCATTCTAATTTATTAACGGATATGTAATTTCCTTATTTCTACTCTTAAATAAATCCATTAAATTATGTGAACCGATGAACTGAATTACTGATCACAGTTAATAAAGTACGGTGAAGTTCACAACATTCATGAAGTTCTCAGGATTATCCATGGTTAATTTTATCATACTGAATAATGACTGATGTACATATTTTTTTTAAAAATAGTTACTCATACATCTCTCTGATAACACACAACATTTCTGATAATCAAGGTTACAACATCTTTGCCAACTAATGTACTCGTTATCAACAGTAAAATAATTGTGTCAATATTATACTTACTAAATAATTAGTGCAGTCTTTATATAAATCAGCTCTAATAGGGGTGAATATTTTTCTTTAACTGTGTTGCATTACCTAGACATAGACCTTCATCCAACTATGATCACATTCTCTTCATTTTTTATGTTTTCATTTATTCTTTTCTAAATTATGGTTAAATATATTTATAAATGGTAAACCTATAATTGACTTTGTAAAGTTCATTTACACTTTGTTTTTCAAAGAAAATAGAGCAGTTTTATTCTATTTTGTTTAGAGTTTTCTTTACAATGTAATCTTCAAACGTTTGAACTGTAACACAAACCTCCAAGCAGATATTAAAAACAAAAATGCAGATGATCTATCAATTTTGTTTACAGTATATTACATTAAGACCTTATGGATGTTGAAAGTTTAATAGGGTTACCGGTGTAACGTAATTTATGGACTACCTTTGAGCGACAGTGAAGTGACCTTGAGTGTGTCCACCTAATAACTAGGACCAAATGAGAGTTGTAAACCAGTGTGAAGAATTAGAATGATTATTACCAGTTGATGGTTAATGTTAGGGATTAGATTTAGGGTTTTCATCACAATGGGTAAATATCTCGCAGTCTACAATTGACCGCTGAAAAAATTGATTCTGACCCTGTGAATTAGTTGATCAGTTATGTGCAGTGTAGGACGTGGTACTTAAATATATTGACTGAAGTTGCTACACTACAGTATTACCAATCAACTAGAGGTAGTAGCATCAGCGACAGTAAAATAGATCAGTCATAAAGAATATGATTAGAGAATAAATAATAGATTTGTATCTTAAAAGATGTTGAGAAATTGTGAAAATTGAGATCTAGAGGATCTTGAACAGTAGACTGACCAGAGCTATTGTAACCTACTGTAATATTCCCTGTTTTCTAAGGTGTTCAATCATTAGTTTTAATAATTATGTGGGTTCCAACCAGTTGGTTCGCACCTACCTGAATGACTCAAACCAACAGTCAATGACTTTATGGATTGATGTTGGTTTAGTCGCCCAAAGCTTTCTTCGAACCTACTCGTACGCCAGCCAACACCAAGTTTCGAGTTGGCTGAACGTGCATAACATGCGTTCGAGCTACCTCAGTCGCTGAAGATTCACACTTTTATCGGACGATTTTGTATATTTACCTACCAACTTACTTACCAACATAGGAAAGCAATGGTTCAAGGAATCCTATGATTAAATACTGGTAATCTTCGAAAGTTTTCTTTTGAAGGCTTTTATCCCAGATACAAAGTTAGGCAGAGCAAATTTCCAGGCATTTTACCCTCCCATTTGTTGATATACGGACATCTTACCTACATTGTAGGTGTTGCGATTCGGCAAAAGACAACTGAGCTTTTGAAATTCGTTTCAAGATTAAGTTAGATACCTGGTCTGATGAGGATTGAGGTGTTGAACGCACTCTGTGGTCAGTTTGAGTGATTATACAGTCCCATTGTGAAGCAGAAAGTGTGTATTTAGAGGTACAGAAACGTTTGTCAAGAGTGATTCGAATATTATTCAAGGCACTCAGAAAACTGTAAATAGAATTATGTAATTTATGTATTCTAAGTTTGTAAGTGGATCTCCTGGTAGGAGATGAGTCCTTAAAAGTCAAACGAACAAAGCATTATCTTCGAAATAGTGTTTTGACGAAGCTGAATAACATTATGAATGACAGACATTTCTAACAAGTACCATTTGATCATTCTATACCTGGTGACAGTTGTCGTTAAACGCCAAGATGACTAGTAGTGTCCTAGTAAAGAGCCCTCAATTTTTGACTTATCTGTTGATGGTAAATACTTTCACAAAACTTCTCGATCACTAATGCCAAATACTGCCGTCGCGTCAAGGAATACTAGCCTTATCAGACGTTGGTTAGTATACCTATGTTCTGTAAACGTGCGAAGATTTGATTGGTGGATCGACACTTTGTTCTGAAACCACGCTGACTTTCTAAGGCTTCCTGTTCATTACCCTTAATTAAGTGTTGAGTTATTTTTGAGATGGCTATTCTAGACAACACTGTGGTTATCAGAAGTGGATTTATGTCCTTCCTACTTAATTAATACGACCAGACCACATTACGACTCACAAAGTATCTTTCAATTTGGTTTAGCCTACCCGATTGGATACAGAAATCCCTTACCATGATTATAAAGTTTAGGCATTTTTAGGCTTATGAAATTCGGATATTAAGTTGCCGCGAGATTGTAGCTTGATAACGTGTGAAGTTGTGAGCATGTGCTACTGATAAGTTGTCAATATGGCCGAAATAGTCACCAATAATTTTGTGGCAGTTTTCAGTAATGTTTTAGGTGAAACCAGTTAATGATAAAATTAATTTCAAAATAATATCTTGGTTTCTAATTATGAAAGGGTTTGTCTTACTGTATGGACAGAAATTTGTGCTGATATTGTGAGCTACTGGCTTGTACACCTTACATGCTAATTAATTGCACACAATGATTATAACCACGTTATTCCAAACTATTTGGAACATGATTAAACTTAGAGTGACTAATACTGAACTAAAGCTCATTATTATTGTATTTCTATGTCACTCGAATGTTTCAAAATCAATTGTGCAATAATCGATAGTCTAGTGCGTGATGTGTTGTCTTTATTTGAACATAAACAACATTTGAAAGACAAAATAAATCCATAAAAAATATACCGCTAGTATTTTAACAGTTTATTCGATTAATAAACTGTCAAGTGAGTGCATATTTTATAAAGTTAACTATACAGTTATTCATTTCAAAGGGAATATTTCGAGATCTTTTATTCTCACTGTATTAGATACTGTTTATATTTGACCAGATATTTTGGTTATGAATATAATTGGTTATGTTAGGACCGATTTGTCAATGATTAGTTTGTCAACGTGTTTGAATCAGGTTAACTGCTTATGTGAAAGTACATACATAAGCCTTACCCATAACTCATTTTCTTAATTATGTACCTTCATGGTTATGGCAGGTTATCAGATCTATAAATAGCGCTATGATTTCTAATCCGGAACATAGAATAAGATTTTTCGGTTGAAATCAGGTATCGAATAATTCACTAAATGGTAAAAATACTACTCCACCATATCGTAAGTGCTATCGTGTACAACTAGAAGAATTCTTACTTATGAAGATAAAAGTTCTGAGTATCCTTATTTTTTGAATAAGTTTTACTAACTGATGAATAGTTCCTTTTAATATTCAGACCACCCTGTTCGACAACCATCATCGTAAAACTATAGTAACTGCTCAATAATATAGATTACTGAAATATAAACAATCCAATGGACTGCGTTATACTTTATGCAACTTTCTAAACGTTCCTACCGTGTTACGTTGTCGGTGAAACCAGTCAAGAATATGAACAAAGGTGTAGAAACTGTAACGTTTATGTTACTTTCATGTAACCTTGTATTAATGAAACCGTGCATATATATGTACAGTAAAGTTTAATTTTAATCTTGGAAATGTGTTTATTTATTCATTCGTAAAAGGTTATTCTTAATTTCGAGTGAAATCATTTTAGATGACCGCTGATGAATAATAGCACAACGTGTAAATACATTTGTAATTTTGTGCATTGTGAACGCTAAAATGAATAAATAAATCTTAATGTTTATTTACTAAATCACTGTACATACTTGGAAGTGTTTTCATTTATTACAAATGATTTATTAACATGCCCGTAATTGTTTTTTTAAATTAAAGTGTTTTTGTTATTTGTCTATCGAATTATAAACTTACTATTGTAAGAGAGAGGATATTGTAAATATATATAGATGTATCCTGTTTTCTGTGGAACGAAGTATTTTGGAGTGTGTTGTAACGGGTGGATTGCAGGTTTTGATAAGCAGCGTTTATATCGATTGATTCAGTGACACGTAAATACCCAATGAACGACCTAGAGCCCCGATTCGCCCTGCTTCGCTGTCTATCCCAGCCCGTTGAGTCCAGAACACAAATCTCAGCCTCTGAGTTATGAATCATTATATTTCAAATATACTCTGTTTATATACTAATCAAGCAGACCACATCGTGCCATAAAATCGAAAACAACATTTAACAAGTGAAATAAATATCGACCAATAGGGAGTGTACATTTAAAGTCCAAGCTCACCATTAGACTTAACACGATAATTATTGTTATATTTTTCTGAACATCCTAACAGAGTGTTTAACATTGTCTATGTAATTATTTATTTGTTTTACAGGAAGATCCTCTTGAACCTGCACTTAAACTTATCCCAGGTTTTTTCGGCACAGTGGTTCTGGTCAATAGTTTTTCAATATTTTACGAAGGACCTTCACGTACGTTAGCTGCAAATTGTCAACGATATTTTCATTAAATCGACAGTTGTTACGTTTGTTGTAATAGATATTTATTTAAGTGTTGAAATTGTTTGATAATTTGTCAGTGATAAAAATAATTATTGGTGTATTTCGCGGATGTTTTTATAATGTGGATTGTTACTAAAATGCACTACAGAACTTATTTGATGGTAGCTTTCTGGACATTTTACTTAAGTCTAGCACGAAATGCACTTGACTGAAATAAGTTAACTAGTTTTTTTCCAATGCTTTTATCCATTCGAATCAAGTTTCCGTATAGTGGATCGGTTTAAAGTGTTTATATAAGTAGCGATTTCGATGCACGAAATTTTACTATACGACCGGTATAGTAAGAGTATTGAATTAATCTAAAATTGCTCTGACAAATATACTTTTAGGTTATCTGGTAGTTTATGGTGTTGGTTCTAATGCAAGCGAAAATATTTTTAATGTTTCTTCGATATTTATATGAAAGTCAGCAAAGTAAGTATGCTGAATAGAGTATACGAGTTAGTGTATTTTAATTCTTGTCGCAGTGTTGTCAACTCACTTTAGTAAACAATTAAATATTAAAGTGAACATGAGCGTGCGGTGTTTGAAGCAAGCAGTACTGGGTTCGAGTTGTCGAGCTAAAAACCAACACTAGGATTCGGTCACATTGAGCAATAGAGTGCTAAATGGGAAGAGACGCTCATCAATGCCTTTGATGAAAAGATCATGATTATGGTCAAGGATATTTGTCTTACGGTGAGCTATCAATCAGTTGAATCGGTTTGGGGAATGAAAATATCGCTAATAATGCTATAATTCTACAACGAATTGAAGGTTTTCTTAATACGTAATAAACTTTCTAATCAAATAACCGAATGATGGAACTTTTACAATTAAATTATAACTTATTTATAGTTAAGTATAAAATATTGAATATTATGAAAGGAAACACAATCTAATGTCATCACGTCTTCCATAATGTCATGAATAAACCGTCATCGGATTTTAGTCTACTGTCGTATATTATCGTATGGTATTTCAAAGACGATTGATCATAATATCAATTTTATCCACACAAACAAATACTTGGATGAATAACAATAATATCAGTTATGTTCTTGTAAATTAAGTTTGTCAATTTTTTTCTTGAGAAAAGGTTTGTATTTACAGAACAAATTATCACTATATTTCACTTCCTTACTTTTGTTAATTCGGATTTTACCTAAGTTGTGTTTGTTTTATCCCATTGAATTTGACAACGACTGTATTGGAATATTACAAGTAAGTTGTAAGTGTATATATCTTCCGTGATATTGACTAGCGTACTAACATCGCGACAATAATTTATGAAAGAAGACATGGACGGAAGTTGGTTGATTCTGATATTCTTATTGTTTAAAAATTAATTTAGAAACATTTTACTCTACTGAATTAAATAACCTGCATAATTTCATATAGAGGTTTGGTACATAAATTTAAAGTATTGCAGTTAGATTGTTCCTTTTTATGTAACTCTTGGTTTATGCGTTTAATCCTACTCAATATGTGGATTGATGTGTACGTTGGTATTTGATAAATATTCCAGGTTCTATTTCTATATAAGCTTGAATAACCGATAGTATGAAGTTGTGATTGATATCAAATTTAAAATGACAAGAGTGTTTATACTACTATGGTGTTGATAAGAATCATAGTTACACATGGTATGCGTGAAGTCCATTAGAATGTATACAATAAACATGGTATAATGATTTTACCATTTCAATCAATTTCATTTAATATAACTATCCTATGTTTTTCATAATAATTGTATATTTCCGTCTAGATTACTACAATAACTGCTTCTCTCATATGTAATAATTAAATTGTTATTGAAAATATGTTGATATTTGAAATAAGTATGGATGTAATTAACTACTTTATATTTTTGTGTATTTTTTCCAGTGTCCAATCTACTTACATTTGTATGAACAGTCGATTATCACCTAACCCTATCTGAACTACACATACACATGCTTATGTTTTTCCTCTTTTGTAGTGCTGAAATTCGATAGGATACCTCTTTATGGAATATTTATAATTAGTTGTGGTTTAGGTATTATCACTGTTCTACTTGTGAAGTTTGTTTGGGTACCTTTGGTTCGCCGACATATTTTAAGTAAGTCGTTACTCTAGTAATCTGATGTATTCTATTATGACTGTAAGATTTCGTTTGCCGTAAATGGACAGAGAGTAAACTGTGTTGAATTATACAATTATATATTCCAGTCACCAAATGTGATTGGTGTGCTTTGATTATGGTGAGATTGTGAAGATCCATAGTTTATGAGAAATGCCCCTCTGAGTTTTCGGCACCTGTATCAACGAGATAACTCTATGCTAAAGGTTTTCTCCTGATGTTTCTTTTATTGATAACCGCCTAAGCCATTTGATGCTCGTAAAAAATGATCACTGATTTTTCTTGTTGAGCAATCGAACAAGCTAGACAGGACATTTTATTTATGATCTATGTGACTTTACAATCACTAACGTCATAAACGGCTGAGCAGACGAATCAAAGGAAGCTGAATCTCATCTGACGTCACACATTTCAAATAAGTCATTGTTTGCTGTTTCAAAGAGATAAAGAATGGATTAAATGACAAATACTACATTTTATTTGTCGCGATGCGCGGTGTCCGTGACTCGATACTGATACCATAGTCTTTGTATATGCGAACCCGACTACTCAAGAGAAGATATTGGTAGTGAGAATGCAAAGTTGATTTGGTGAAACCGACTCATATGCATGTGCACTTATGTGTATATTCCATAGGTAATGAGGTGTACCAAAAGGTTTGTGTGTGATCCTTTGAAAACGGAAGCATTTATTGGCCAGTCACAGCCATTTATGATTTGAGGATTTCCGATTGACCCGTTGTAACAGTATTTTCCAAATAACTGTTTTGTTTAAAACTGATTAGTTACAGAATATACCCACTGCTACTGACTGAATAAGTTAAGCACTACATTGAGAAGCTAATAACCAGAATAAATATGAATCTATATCATCAAATGGGATTTTTTTTCAGAAAAGTAATTAAACTTCTGTTTTATTGACCAGTTAACGTCGTCGACAAAAGATAAATGTAACACGTAACCACTTATATTGTGAGGTTATCGTTTTTCTCACTCAATTCCTCTATCTTTGAACATTTGACGTTTATCCTTGTCGATTACGGAAGCTGTGATTTTATTTTTCATGATAAAGGATTGAAGGGTCCTAGTGAGAAAACTGGAGAATCTCCTGTAGGTTTTGTGTATCTTGTATTTTCACTGATAAATCTGATGACTTAAAATAGTTCAGTGATATAACTGTCCATCCTTCTGGATTAGATTATATCACTTTGACTATTGATTGAGGCCAGCTAAATCACGTGATCATTGTGAATAAGCGTTTTACTGAATGATTGTTTATCTGGAGAAGAGTAACAGAAATATAAGATGCAATACTACATGTGGATAGTAGGTCGTATGGTAGCTGAGAAATTGAGGCGATATTCAAACTAGGAAATAGTTAAATCAATGTAAATACATTGCAGAACAATCCTGTACCAATGGTTAAATACGTTTCGAAGGAGAAACGTAATTATCGCGAATGAAGATCAAATGAACTTAACTGTTGGCCAAAGATAGTTTACTTTGAGATTAAAATCACAGGAATTTAGGTGATAACAGATATTATCATCTGTTTACCTGCGTTCAGCTGACAACAATCCATATAAGGAATGACTTGTTATTGTTATAACTTGTGAACCTGTGTGCTCTGTTTATTGTATAACGCAGTGATACCGCCAACCAGAGAACGGTGAATTATCGACCGAATCAGTGACACACAAAATACGTGCGAGCAGCCTAGAATCCTGATTGGTGCTGCTTTATGCCTAGCCCAGCCAGTTGAGTCCAGAACACCAATCTCAGCCTCTGTGATGTGAATCATTCATTTCAAGCATACTGGGTTTATATATCAATCAGACAGACCACATCGTATCATAAAATATGAAAGAACATTTGTACAAGAATTAGCCAAATGTGGCTGTGAATGAGAGAGATAGTAATTGATAGACTGGACATAACTGAAGAATGGTAAATCGTATATTAATAGTTCATAGGTCAAAATAAAACTCATAATAAGAGGGACATGAATATGAACAATTTAGTTACATAACAATTATACGATAAAAATATACTCATAGTATTGGTCCATAAATGGATCGCAAAAGTTACCATTCATTATTCTTATCGGGATATAGCACTTATAGATTTATTATTTTATAATCCGATCTATAAATGTGTATACGTTTAAGAGGTCTTTTCGAATTAATAATTAAGATATTTCGGAAGTAAGAAAGAATTAAACAGCTTTATGACTTCATGTTTCATTTTCAGTGTTATGACTTTAAATTCTTACAGAGCTAACTGTGTTTTAATTTTACAAAAATGAAACCTGACTAATACACGGTAATAAACCTGTTTCGATTTCTCTTTAATGTGCGATAAATGGAGTAAAATGTAATTGTGTTTTATTGACGTTATAGATTCGCTTACAACAACTTACAGATTGTATGTAATTTTTAAATTGAATAAAACATTTGGCTAATTCAGTGTTCATGCATTTTTATAGCTGGAGAATCGAGTCGACATATTTTGAAAGGCTATTTTTCCCGTAAGAGCAAAAAGAAATTGTCTGTCGCTGTAGACGATAAGTATCAATCTGTTGAGGATAATAAATCTCCCAAACTTTCAAGCAATAATCATGAATCGATTGATATGGATACGTATGTACCTCGTGCAGAGGGAGAGGCTGTGATTGGATTTCGAAACAATGTTGCCAGAGGAAATACAGATGACAAAGACAAACTTGGACGATTTACTACTGAAAATAATGGTGTATTGCAGGGAGTAGAAAATCAAAATAAAGTTTCAAGTCGTAAGTTTTGTTTTGTAAAATAAAGCCTCACTTGCGTCATCTCCTAGGTTGCATTGACGCGAGATTCTTAATTATTTTCATGACTAAAATCTCATGGAGATTAGATGCAGACATATAGTTATATATACTTTGTAAAGCACAATTTGTTAAGTTAAAATGTTTACTGTCTGTGACAGTAATTTATTATGGTTATCCTTATGAATTTGGATAAAACCAGATTGTTAGTTAAAATAGAAATATGTGGATATAGTATTTCATGGATTCTATTCATTTACGATTGTGTTGAGATATAAGATTAGTAATAACACACAAACAAAGGGCTGGAATGGGATGTTATCATTGATTTTTTCTATAGATATATGCTGGAAAGCCCACCTGAGGATCAGTAAAGAAAAATACGAAGAAAGAGGGTTGCTAAGATGGGCCGTGTAACCGTTGTACGAAACCTAAAATGATTTACATAAGTTTGAACAATTGGGTTAGTGGGAATCACTCAATAATTGAAAATATATGTTTTGGAGTGCATGGAATAATAAATAACTTTCAAAAGATCGCCTAAATGATCATAATTATAATATCAACGGAAACGAAAGTATTACTGAGTGAGTTTTATGGAGATTGGTGTAATGTCAAGGTGGCATTCGTCACAGTTTGACCTCAGTCGGTAAACCATTAGCAACCACGGGGAGGGGTACTGAACGTTTGTTTAATCGTAGTATGGGGCTCCACGACTATGCTCACTTACAGACTTATATATCCATATTTGAATGCTTTCTAAATATCGTCATTCCTTTTTGCTAAGTGTATATCGAAAACTCTCAACTTCGATTCACAGTTTCAGTACAAACGTGAATCGTCTACGTATGCTGATAGTGGCTGGTCGATTAGACCATATCTGATATAAATAAGCTGCAGTCTACTTTGTCACAATTACAGGATGAAAGAAAATGAAGTATTAATCTGTAAATTAAATTCGTTTAAGAACAGTGACATTTTCATTGTAAGTGTAAACTACGTTTTCTCATATGTGTAAATTGTAAATTTTAAGAAAAAGCGATCACTGAAGCTGAATGAGATCAAGTTCTATAAAATTCAAACGTCGAAGTAAAAGTGTTTCAACATCATTAAAAGAAAATAAGCCCTATGTACTGTTTCTCTAAGTGTTGCGTAATCGGTATAAAATTTAAATGTCAGTTGTTAGTAAAAAAGAATTAGTTACACACTGTTCACTTTATCGGTAAAGAAATCTGTTCGATGGTATAAAGACCGTATATTGAAACAGAAGTAATGTTTCTACAAAAATGTAGACATAATTTAGAACACTTGCTCTTGAGTGGAACACTTTATGAATACGTCAATTTTATTGTATATATTTCTGTCAAAATGTTTTTTCACATTATTTCTTGTAACACCGGTTATTATTATTATTATTATTAACTTTTCTGAAATTGTATAGAAGTGGGCACTGTTTATTAGAATAATGATACATTAAAATTAATTATTAACTTTAATGTGTACTCTTAATGATTTAACTCGTTAATTTACTTATAAGTAATAGGAATATAATAAAGAAAATGTTTATTCTCTAGAGAATGTTGTTAGGAGTGATTACATAGAAACGGTTAAACTATGTATGATAAGTGGCTTCATTACATTTAGAGTAAAGTGAAGTGACCTCATGTGAAATCGTTATCAGTTTATCACTTATTTTATAGAACATATATTTTAGTGAAATTAAATGTTGCTTAGTTTTATTCGGCCTGATTTATATACTGATACACAGTTGGCTTCTCAAGAAATCAAGATAATTTCATAATGTGAATAAAATAATAAATTTTTTCCATAATTATATCCAAAGTGAAATCTTTATATTATTATTATTATTATTATTATTATTATTATTATTATTATTATTATTATTATTATTACATTGAACCTAGTAAACGTTAATGGATCAATGCATATAAATGTAAACAACCCGTTTTTTAATGCTATTTGTTTTGGTCGTACGTTGCAATGATTGACATGAATTTACATGCTTTTGCAAACCTAAATCTTCCCAAACTTAGTCATGTCGCATGGTTTTCAGTTAAAGTTTATTCTTATTTGTATGAGATTTTTATATCTGCTCCCTTCTTTTCACATTTTTTCCACATGTTCCATAGATTTCGAAGTGAAACCAAGTAACCCAGATGAAACAGTTCATAAAAGAAATCAGTTAAATAGGGTTTTGGATTATTCACCAAATGATCAAAATGCCATCACGGATGGTAGTCATAATTTAACTAATGGTAAAATGAATGTATCGTTTCCTCCTAACCTGTCTACAATTGGTGAAGTGAGTATTGTGATTTAGTATTTATCTCCCTTTCCTACTGTATCTTTTGGGATAGACATATACCTTAATTGAATTACTAGATAGTGTTGAATGGTTACTGTATATCAACCCAATAAGTTATAACCGACATGAAGATGACACTGCGAGTTAGAGAACAGTGATTTATCGACCTGACCAATGACGCATAAACCCGTATGAGAAGTCTAGAGTTCTTATCGGTCCTCCTCTCAATCTAGCCCTGCCTGTTGAGTTCATAACACCAATCTCAGCCTCCGCGATATGATATGAATCATGTATTTCAAGCATACTCTGTTTATATGCAGACCAAACAGACCACATCACTCCGTGAAATAGAAAATAACCTTTGTACAAGATCCAGCCAAATGTGACTGTGAATGTCAGAGACCTTAACTAATAGACTGGGTATAACTCAAGAACGGTAAATCGCATAATAATAGTCTATTGGTCAACATAAAGTTTTTAATAAGAGGAACGTGAATATGCGTAGTTTAGTTACTTAACAATTATACAATAGAAATGTATGTACATTACATCATTAAAATTCGGTGGTTTATCCAGTTAGTGGTTTCGATCATTTCACAGAGTCCTACGAGGTTGTATTCCAGTGTCCGTAAATGACTGCATTATGATTGAACGATACTGATCCTGGTGACATGTATATCCTACTTGACTTCATATATACTCTGTCGACTAAACGCTTTAATACTACATAGTTATGAAAATTCAGACAGGAGAAGCTGAAAACGTTTATTCGGTGAACAATGAATGACTTCGTCCTTATATAGAGTGAATAATACATGAATTACAGATAACCAATTAAAGCAGAGACAACAAACATGCATATGGCATGTGCACATAAAACTGTTTGAAGTTAACCGTAAATAACTAACAAGTGCATATATACAAAAACGACAAATGAATACACTATGATCAATAACGTTAAATTTAAATATGCACAGGTCAGTTTATGGTCACCCAAGAGTTTATAGAAGTCTATCGTACTAATTCATGATATAACTGCAAGTTTGATTATGTTTGTGACTCAAGTTTATATGGGTCACTCCATCATACAGTGAAAGATACATGATGTGCTGCAAGGTAACTTGTGATTATTAGATTCGTTTTTTATTACATATCTTCCTCGTTGTTCAAATACTATTTATTCTCTATTGCAAATAATCCTAAATTCACATGCTATAATTTTTAAACGATGTATTTTTTCCCAAACCTTGCCACCTTTTGGACTATTAACTTGTGTATTCTTTGTTCACTTATGTTTCAATATGATGGTAATTTTTCGGTATTTGGGATGAATGAAAGTCTAGAAATTTCTAACTTCAGGGATCGTATTAATTATTTCTGTTGAATTTGTGAATCGTTTGTTTTCCAAACTAGCGATGAAAAGAGAGTGGATATTACCCTAGATACCTTGTATTCACAGTGCAATTGAAGCGTTATGTTTTAGGTCTATTTTGTGTGGGAGTAAATGAAACGATGCTCAAAAGAAGTGGTCTGAACTATTCTACAAATAAGTATTTTGCATGATATCATTTGTTTCAAGTGAATGATTAGACCAATTTTAAGCCTATATATTGTGACATATAACACACGAAATGCATTGTTAATATTTTTGCTACATATAATCTGCACTTAATTATTACTAATTCTTCTGGATACAGGAACCAGATCCTGTCGATTCAGTCAAAGATCGTCCTGCTGAAGCTCAAGTTTTCTCATCTTTACAAATTTTAACAGCTGTGTTTGGATCATTTGCTCATGGTGGTAATGATGTAAGGTATGAATATTTAATATATTTTTTCAATAAATCAATCTGTGTATATAGGAAAAATTCACTTATATTACTACCATTAAAGTATATTCAGTAATCAGAACTTAAGATTAGTTATAATTGATATAAAATATGAGTTGAATCCCCATAAAATATAACTTCTAGAAACTTTGTAGATATTAGAAAGATAATATCTATCATGAGACTAGTTTAGAAAGGTTGATTTTTCTCAATGAGAGACCTCTGCAATTCCCACGACGCGAATGCAAAAACACAAGGCTGGTATAAATGATGATTTATTAACCTCAAAAACACGACGACGACCCTAGTCGAAAATACACTCATTTATATATAAATTTTACACACACTTTGAATAATAATTAGGATGAACGCATATATAAATATAAATACTCATTTATAACAAATCAGATATTGAGCATAGTTCATGTCAATTGAATACAAGAATATCGTATATTATACACAATAAAATATCTTACGAGAAAACAAAACAAACTATACCCTGAATAATCATAACATTGAATCCAAATGGAAGTAACGTTGAACAAAACTCATAATGAGTAAATCAATGGGATTTCGACTTTTCTTCCCGTCATATAACTTCGTCCAGCTCAGAGAACAAAGCCTCTTCAGGATCACTACTCGATTTATTTCCGATCGCCACCTCCCAATTCAAATCAGTGTAAAAGGGGTGTGGTGGTGAGTCACACATCAAACGAAAGCTCATGATTCATAGAGTAAGCTAAAGACAAAACTAAATGTTAGTATTTTACAAAGTTTGAATTAAATGAAATAACATCTTCATAAATAGCTTCCGTTGTCTGTCATGGCTTCGTTGTTTTTCTGTTCACGTTAGATCAGAACTGTAATATTTTATTCTTTAGGAGATCACAGTAATCCTGTACGTTTGCACATCTTTTTACATAAAATGAATGACGTGTATGAATGTGCTTCTTTTTCATACATCATTTGTAATATCACATTTTTAAACGAGAGAGCATATTCAATAAGAACTATGCTTCGTAGAATTAAACCATGGAATACGTAAGGGTCTAAAGCTTTCCTAAATGAAATGAGGTACTTGTACGTTAGATTTGAATTACGGATCTTTTATGAATTCGCTGGTATATCAAAGTATAAATCCGCTTTAGGCTAAACTAACATTATGTTTATATGTTGTCACCCATTCGGTTATTTAAAGATACTGTGGTGAACATTCGAATCATAGAAAGTTTTCATTTGAAAAGATAGTCATCATAATCATTTTCAGACTACTCATTCAAAACAATAGTAGTCGTAAACTTGTTTGACTGCTAACCCATTATAAAACATGAAGTCCATCTTCAAATAATTCACTTAACGTGTAAGTTTTTTATGAATTATTTTTTATGCAGTAATGCTATCGGGCCGTTGATTGGTTTATGGCTTATTGCCACAACACAATCAGTTGATTCATCGAAAACTACAGATGTTTGGATTTTGGTTTATGGTGGTGTTGGTATATCAGTTGGTCTTTGGATATGGGGTAGACGTGTTATTCAAACATTAGGTGAAGATCTGACGAAAATATCACCTTCCAGGTAGGTTGGTGATCTTTTTGCACAGAAATATGTTTATTGTAGATATTGTATGTGTTTAATACCATCTTTCAATGAATTTGAATAGTTTTGGTTGTAATTTATATATCATTTTTCATATATATTCGAATGTTTTTATTTACTTGATCTATGAAATCGTTTTTCACAACTGACACTTTATTTTAGGTCATAAGATTCATTCTCTGATGGAACAACAGTAAGTAAAAAAACGAAAGAAGAATGTTGGATCACTGTGGTGGTGGGATGTAGTCAATGTAAATTCTTACCAAACAAGAACTTTTCTTCCTTAGTCGACATCTTAGTTGATTCTGACAGTGCACATTAAAGTGGCTTTTTATTGTCACTTTTTTTAAAGTGTGCTTTGTGTCCACTGTGAGAGTCATCTGATGGGATGCAAAGAAAGTGGAATTATAACGAGTGTTTAGTAGTTTTTTTTATAGTTTCTTGGTATTCAATACTCAATAACTTACAATACTTTTCAGCTAGTCACTTAGTTAATATTCAGCGATCAAGACGTGGAGAAAGTTGTATCCCTTATCATTTGTTCTTTATTTTTGATGAAGGAATTTATGGGGATTGTTAAATGTTCATAGCTTACATCATGGTTTGATTTTACTTAAGCAACCAGTATGGGACCACTCGTTAGTGAGCATCCTTAACTCCACTGAGGATTAAGTTTAAGAACTTCATTTCTAGAGATGAGCACTTAACCTTCAGACCACTGAGCTTGCATCTAATGGTTTACACCAACTGCAATCAATTAGCGATATTGTGCAACCACAATCCCTTTCCTGTTATGGATAACTGTCTCACACTTGACTGATCATGCCTTCTCATTGGAACTTCTGGAAGTTTGTCATTATTGAACACAACTATTATTGGTACGGCGTTTGTAGAAATAGTTGAATTGGTTTCGTTTATATACACTATATGTAGATCGGGCGTAAGTGTATGAAAATGGAAGTTCAACAAAACTCACCAATTCTTTACTATACATTTTCACTGAATTATTTATTTTTATTATTAATAACATTAGTATCATTATTCTTTTATTTTGTTATCAGTGGTGTTTGTATTGAAATTGGTTCAGCCCTGACTGTATTAATTGCTAGTAAAATTGGTCTACCAATATCAACTACACACTGTAAAGTTGGTTCGGTCGTATTTGTTGGACGTGCACGTTCTAGAGACAATGTTAATTGGGGTATATTTCGTAATATTCTAGCTGCATGGTTGGTAACCTTACCCGCTGCTGGTGCTATCTCTGCTTTACTCATGTATATATTTACATTTGTAGTATGAATTTAGTTTATTATATTATTATTATTATTATTAATAAATATTTTATGATTAAAAAAATCTGTTTTTATAAGTAAAAAGAACGAACAGAATAAACTGAATCTCACAAATCAATAATGTAACTTCTTGTTTGTATCCCCATACATTTTGAGCGAACTGATTGATTTTTTTCTGCTCACTTCTTCATTTACTTACTAGATTTCTATTGTTTTTTTTTCTGGGTTTTTTTCGTCCAACACATCCGCTTGTAAACATATATGCACATACACAGAATAGAAAAACAGTTACTTTTCTCCCTCGTTATCATTACTATTATTATTAACTGATCTCGTATTCATTAGATAAATGTTCGTATTAGTACAAGTGGTGATGGTTTATTTAGTTGATGTTCTGTTTAAAAATAAAAGTTCCCTTAATCTCTCACCATTTTTATTACGTTCAACGTCTGTCGACATGGTACCCTGTTCACCAGTTAACACTGTACACAGTTTACTCACATGCATACACATAAACAGAGACATGGAATAGTAAAAAAAAACAACAGATTTGTAGCAACATCCCTTTGAATTGTAACATAAAACATTATTATTTCCTTGTAATTTTGTTTTTATCAACTAATATTAGTGAAAAAGTTTTTTTTCTATTTTTCTAGTTACTACTTCCTTGATAAGTTGGTTGTTTAATGGGAAGTTACTATTAATTAATAATTTATGATGTGATTCAATTAATTAATTAAAAGAACTTTTGAAAAATGTTTGTTCAGTTGTTTTTTTCGCCAATTTTTATTATTAATCATATAAACTATGGGATACATAAATTGAACTAATGATATCAGTTTTTGTAAGAAATAAATCTTGGATTTGTTTTGATCAATGATGAAACGACGTTAATACATAGTAAAGTGTTATTACATAGCTAATTCACTTTGAACACCATTATTTACAATGGTGTTATTTTCTCTGAACTGGATGGTTTGATTAAGGATTTTTTTTTATTGTCGTCGTTGACTGAGTCATGTAGAATATTCTGATAGGGATTTTCAATCAATAATAAATACTTTGCAATTAAATCATCCATTTGATGAAAGTACATAACACTACTAAATGGATTGATCGGAACTGCAAATGTTCTCCATTATTTCAATATTACTTATCTTTGAATAGTGAATACATAATGGATGTTATCATATTGTATCTTAGATTTTATTTCAATATACTGAGTTATCTCAAAAAGTATCTTTACAGATAGACATTTTAGTGGGTAAAAATGTACTAGTTAGATGATATTGTGTTTTACCCAGTGAATGAATATAATTGTAGTGAGTAAAATAGGTATATTGAGATTATAATTGTTGTCAATGATATGTGTAAAGTAAATAATACATATAAATGTATCAATAGTAGTTGTATATGATGGTAAGAATGCTGATAATTTCAATACTGTAAATATATCATGATACTGAAGAGGAAAGGTGATTTACTATGTTTGTTTTATGTCGATTTCGAAGTATCTGAACTATACAGTTCACTAAGATCCCCTGCAAAACACCACTAAGTTCACCGTGTTGTACGCGATTAACGAGGACGTGAAATGGATCCAAAGTTTTGATCGTCAGTCTAGTCCAGGCGTTTTCAAAGAAGGTAATCAAATATAAATACATGGTTCATAGGTCGATTGTATGTTAAGCAAATTGTCCAATCATGTGGACAATGTTGTAAGTGAGATTTGTTGTAGTGCGTACAAGTCAGTTGACATGAAAAGTATGGGAAATTGTGATAAGACAGCATGTGTATGTGTGTTTATGTAGATTTGATGTGATGAAAATTTACTGACGTCATATCCCTCTGGTTATGATTTTTGGTGTAATTCGGTGATTTGATAGATGTCATAAATTCAACATGTTGCAGCATACATGAAATGAGAACGTCTAGACAAATAAATGTAAACTTGTGTTAAACAAGGAGGTCGTTCATCGTATATTTGACAAATTAACTGATTAGAACAAATGAGAAATAATAGTTATTGTGCACATAATGAAAGATGAATTAAAAGAAGTGAAATAAAATTCGAATTGATCTATTAATTACCAGTTGCCTTCGGGAAACTAATTGTATTCCATCTCTTCTATGTATATTGTTTGAGTTTGTCTATATATGTAGGGTTTCAGCTGTTAATAGTCTTGTACGAAACAAAACGTTTAAAAGGATTCTTATGCCGCTGAAGTCAGTTGTACTTCTCGATTCTATTGAATATAATCCTTTTGCCGACTTGTTTCCTAGTTTCCTGAGGCCTACTGAGCTTTAGGCAGAGTTTGTGTCTCTTCACCCGTGCACTGAGCCATCGTGATGTCTCGTCCACTTATACAGCGTTATGGTCTTTGTATTTGATCACACAGGCTCGATTTTGCTATTTCTTTCATATTGTATCCTAAAACCTTACTAGTTTAGCAATAAAAGTATTGTTCGTTCAACAACAAGAACACATATTGTAGTACTTTAGGATCACTTCGATTTCTAACTATGTTGATCCATTCTCTTGGTTTTTCTTTTCGCTTATCTTTCTGACCCTAAGCATTCCTTTTAAAACGTCCCTAGGTTGGTTATTCATCAAAGTAGACATAACCAAATCCAAACCAGCTTCTTTATCAAGTAGTTCTGAGACGAGTTTCTGAACTCTGTTATCGCATTCGGAGCGACCTTTGTAAAAGGAGCATGTGATGACTTGTAATCTAGATATGTTTCGGAATATTTTTGATTTTGGAATATAACAATGTTTAAGCAATCGTCACTCTTCCTCACAAGCAAACAGTCGAGAAATGGCAGTTTGCGATCAGTTGATCAAATTTCTGTAGTGTACTTGGTGTTATCAGATATAGTGCTGACGTTTGTACAAAATCCGTCTCAATCTCATTCGTAATGATAAATCGCTTATCTACATATCTCAACGAGATTGTAGGTGATTGGGGACAATTCGAGATTTCCCTCGTTTCCAATCAATAAACAAACAGGTTGGCCATATTTGCAGCTATCGGTGATCTCGCAAACAGCAGTCGACCTTATTAATTGAAGCCACATCTTAGTTTGACTGCCTCTAGCTAGTAAAATTATTTAGTAAGTCGTATCTGGCGAAGCATAGCACATAAGTTCCAGGAGATTTTTCTCGACACATAAACTAGGGTCATTGACATTGAATCCGATAGGGAAAAGACTAAGTATACTATGTATCACTCCAAATAATTTCGTTTTATCTATCGCATAACCATTGTCAACCAGGTGCGCCGAGATAGAGTTGTGTATTATTTTTGTCTGAACATTTTCTAACCACGAAGAGAAGCTCATTCGTATTGATTATTTTAATTTCTCCCCCTGAGGTTAAGAAGTGCAATTGATAGGTGCCCCACAGCATTTGTGTATCCCAGTGATTGAACTCAACCCTCGGATGCAGGTATATCCAGTTGATGAGTCCCAAATAGAGTGAAATGCACGTCCTCGATTCCACTGCTAGCCACTATCCATCTTTGCTTACACACAGAGAGATGTTTACTCAATCGCTGATTAAATTACTTCATAGTACGCTCAACAAATGCAAGCCATTTTGCAGCGTCTTTGTGTCCATAGAATATTGATCATTCAGTGAAAAAGCTTTATCCAAACTACAAATATGGGTATAGTCATTGCAGGTTTCGACTACATCGCTGTGTGGTGGTTTAGCTTTTAGAAAATTTGACAAATGTTTAGAAATAAGTGAAGATATTTCATAGTATTATGGTGACGGATTGTTGACATTTCCCCGATAATTAAATCAAACATGCATTTGTACTGCTGTGCCACATTAATCCAATGTCAGTAGTTCTCATGAATTTAATTACTCAATTACGTACTTTTGTTATAACTTAATGAATAAGACATAGTCGTGGGAATGTATTAACTGTTTATTGGTGTGATTAATTTATGTGCCTGTGGCTGACAGATTTCAATGTTCTGCTCCCTGACTCGAATGAATACAGAAACACCTGACTTCTAAAACTCGGTATATTCTTTTGTATTTATATCAGTATATTTACCTTCATTGTCTGTTTTAACTCTGATGAACGATCTTCATTATCCTAATTCAATATTTATCAGATTCTGCTTATTACTTGGGAACTTATACAACGATACACAATCAACGTATAGTGTCGACCGACCGGTTTAAAATATGGGGATTTATGAATGAAATCAACTACGTAACCTGTAGTGTCAGTTATTGTGGCAAGCCCATGTACCTTATTCTAACTTGCAGACATCCTATTTTATTCATCCTACTCGAGCCATATTTTGACCTTGTCAATTATTCGCTTATTAGCCTTGACTGTTTTTATATGAGCGTATATGTGTGTGCCCTTCTTATAGCATTAATCACATGTCTGTAGCATTATTTTGTCTGCCTATAAATATTGAGTAATGCCTGGCTTGAAATGGAGTTGGCTTCCCAGCCATCTTCCATGCGTGTCATTTTTACTTGGCTTCACCGTGTGCTTGGTTGCTGTACGCTTGCGGATTTTTATTATTCATTAACAATAAATTATCTCTACAACTGGTGTTCAGGCTTCTGAATACTTTCGAGTAAATCCGTAATTCTACTAGGAGATTAAGCCTACCAAAAATACTCAGTTTACGGGATATTATTTATTGGAGTCAGATATTGAAGACATTAGCCTCAACATATTAACAGCCTGCCGTTTCTTCAAACCTTTCTTTTGAAAACTTTACATAATCGCGAACCATTTTAATGAAGCTGGAACGTCATCACAGAGATAATTTAATTGTTTATAAAGGAATACACATGGCATTTTTGACAAGTTCTTAATTTTCAAGAAAAAAACACATTTAATTAACAGCTGATTGACATATAATGGGTGTTATTGATTTATTTACTCAAGGTCACCAAAATCACGTGTTTAAATACAGATACTAATTGGCGTATCATTATATCAACATGAGAAAAAGTGTGCTTTTAATATACTTAATCTCTAACCAGAATTTATTCAGCATTCAAATAGAAAACTTCAGTATGTTGACTAAATATTTCAACTGGAAATCAATAAAAAAAGTAGTAAAAACTGTTTAGATTAGGTTTAGTGAATTCGTTTACTCTATAGCAATTAATAATTTACTTTTTTCAACTCTTAAACACTCATACACACATTCAAGGCCACGTATAGTTGATTCAGTAAATTGTCAAAAAAAACTTACCTCTAGCCTATAAGCACATCTCTGCAAATACATTGTACATCTGTTTACATATATGTATGCATAATTAATAATACTAGACCTATTAAAAGAATATCGCATGATCAGGATATGCTTAAGAGTTTAATTACCAAAATCCAGATTCATTTGTGCATTTGTACTCTAATGACAATGTTTACTGGAGGTTATTTGAGCGGAGATAAATAATGTCAGAATTTTAAAAACTGGTAAGTCATAAATAGTTGTTATTTCAACTGAATATTAATCCAAAGATTTTACGGTTTTAACAAATATACTTTCACCAAAGACAACTATTCACTTGTATAAAACCCCTATGTTAAACGAATCCGAATACTTTCAGAAGATGTAGACATTAATTGTGTTAATAGTCACTTATATGTGATTTAGTTACAAGCGTAGTGTACAAAAAGTAGTAAGCCTGTTTGCAGTTTGAATGATTCGTAATACAGTTTAGATGGTGAATAGGGATTTCTTAAAATTGCACACCTTTTAATATTAATTCCTGAAGGAGATATGATTCTCGGGTGGACTAATGAATGGGGACTTCTTCCTCCATCGTTTTATAACTTGTGTTTACCTAATTCGTTTATGATTAATACTACTCCTCACACATCTTTTCTTATTTTTATTATTATTAATCTTGTGAACAAGTGATGAATTTAATTAACACTCGATCCAC